CTGTTCCACGGACGCAGTTCCACGCAGTCTCGGCACAATTTCTCGATTTCTTTGTGCAACGTTTGGCGCGGTGTGTCCGTTCCCTTCACGCCCCTGCCGCGCGCATTGCCGCACATCGCCGGACACTCTGGCCGCAGTCCGCGTGCCGCGGCGTGGCGTGTCGACCGCAAGGCAGTTGAGGAAAAGGGCCTTCGCCGCCTCCGTCGCTCTGTCTCTCTCGCACCGCCACGCGGGACAGGAGGCCCCATGAGTGCGACAGAGGCAGAGCGACGAAAGCTCTGTTTCGGAATGAGCCTGCAGCCTCGTTGAGTGCACCAATTAGCTGGAACGACGTGGAGGTCAATCGGGGCCGTCCTGAAATCACTATTTCTCTGTCTCACAGTGGGCCAGAAGACCGGTGGAGGCGGCCAAAACTCCAGACGCGTCAACGAGGAATCCATTGGTGGGGGTCACACGTTCGGTTCGAATCCCATTTAGCGACCCTGGAGCCCACTGTGTGTCTCTCTCTGTCTTTGCGGGCAGCGGAAGGGCCCGCCGCGGCCCCGCGGGGGGCACGCCACGCCCGTGGGCCCCTTGCCCCAAGCCCCAGCGGCCCCAGGCCTGCCCCAGGCCTGCCCCCGCCCCAACCGGGGCTCGGGTAACCGCCGAGTCTCTCCGCCTTTCTTTTCAGACCACGCCGGGTCAAAGTGTGGCCCTGCAGGCTGATTCCGGACGGCGCTCCTCCGTCCCTGTCGCCCTCGTGGAGCTGGCCGAGTGGGTGCGAGAGAGACAGAGCGACGACTTTCGGGCTCGGCCTGCAGCCGGCTCGAGTTCCCGAACGGTCTCGGTGATCATGCAGGCAATCCAGGGGGCGTTGGCGAGGCAAGGCGCTGGCGCGGCGGGACAGCGTGGAACTTGCAGGCCTCGTCGCTCTGTCTCTCTCGCACTCACGGCGCATCTCGCATGGGCGCGAGAGAGACAAATGACTCTCGGAATCAGTCTGCTGGGCGTCGCGGGCGGAATGGCACCTCTGGACAACAAAGGGGCCGAAGCCGCTACACTGCCACAGCAGGCTGTCTCTCTCGCACCCCTGCGGGACGCCCTGCGAGTGCGACAGAGACAGATCACCGCGCAGTGTCACGCTGCAGCGGCGTGAGCACGAGGCCCAGTAGGGCCCTAGAGAGACTGGGGGCGCCCGCAGCGGGAGGGGAGGTCTCTCTCGCACTCGTGGGGCGTGCCCGGCGTCCCGTAGGGGTGCGAGAGAGACAGCCGACAGCCCGCAGCTTCTAATTAACAAACAGGCGTCACTTGAAAGGGAGTGTTGCACCACCTGGTCGCTAATCGGTCTCATCTTTTGAATGGGCCGACGCGGCGCGCGGTCTCTCTCTGTCTCTCTCTCACTGTCTCTGTCTCTCTCGCTGCCACTGCACTGCATGCGTTTCCCCGCACCCGCGAGAAAGTGCCCGCATCGACGGCCACCTCGACGACGCACTCGACCTCCACGTTGACGCGGGGAGCAGCTTTTCAAACTTGGTTTCCGTGCGCTGGCTTTTCTTCAGCGGAATTCGGGAAACGGCCGCTTGTTGTTGTTCCCGCGCTGCACCGCCGGGAAGCCGAGCCGGCGGGCCGGCCTCGCGCGGAAACGGATATGCAGCTCGCGCGGCTCACGCGCCGCGGCTGGCTGTCGTGACGCAAGAATATGAGAAATTGAGCGCGCTGAGAGGCTGGCGCACTGGGATAATGCGGCTCATTGTCGATATTAACGAGTCTGACGAGTCCCCGACCCCGCGGCTCCGCGGTCGGCACGTCTAGGGCCTGGCGGTGGCGCGGCATGGCCAGGCGTGGCGTGGCTCCCACAGCGCCGCTAGCACGGCACGGCACGGCACGGCACGGCGCACGCACTAGCGCTCGCTCAGCTAAAAGGCGTAACCGCAAACTGGAGTAAGGCCTTTTAAACTGTGTGGCGCGGCGCTTGTTGGCGAAGCTGGCGCCGGGGTGCGCCACGCGGTGCTGCACTGTGCGGCGCGGCGCGGCGCGAGACCTTGTCCCGGATGAACGAACGACGAGCGCTCGGTTGGATTAGAATAACACCTCTACACGTCGCCGCCGTCGCCACCGCCGTCCTGGGCTGTCGTCTCTCTCGCAGGGGCGCGAGAGAGAGGCCCGGTGCAGACGCGTGCGCGGTGCGTTTCTGCCGTCTCATCGGCCAGGACAGGAAGAAAGCCCATCAGTGGGAGTCACGATTGGCTGGCGGGCTGCCCCAGGACCTCCAGGACCTCCAGGGCCTCCAGGACCTCCAGGGCCTCCAGGACGGCCACGGCCTCCTTGCAGGGGATGCGCGTGACTCGGCCCCGACTTATCGGCAAGATGGGCCTCGAAGTTTTTGACCGGGTGGCGTGGATTATCAGGAAGCATGACTCTGCGCGTGGATCCTTAGCGCCGTCGGCCGAGTGGCAACTCTATAGCACGCCCTGCGGCCTGCGGGTCCTTAGCGCCGCTGGACCGAGTGGCAACTCTATAGAGCGGCGTCCCGCCGGTCCGCGCCGCACGGCCCACGCGCCGGCATGCATTTCACGGTGTTGCCGCTGCGAGTACCGGGCTGGGACCTGGATTAGGCGCGCCCGGATTTACAGTCTCTGTCGCACCCGCGAGTGCGAGAGAGACAGGGGCGGGTAGGCCACCCGCCACACTGGCGTGCGCCTTGCGCGCTGCGTTGCCTGCCCGCGGGGGCTGTTGGCAGTGTGCCCGGCGGACGCATTTCGCCGAACCGCGTCACGCGAATCAACGCCGTAATGCCGACACTGATTTCCCGCGAAACGTCGCGGCGCGGGGGCGGTGGCGGCGCTGCCGGTTCTGAATGTTTGTTTTTTCCTGTGCCGCGCGGCGTACGCCAGGCCGCCAGGCGTTTGGCCGACGCGTGCACGTACGCGACGGTGCGACCGGCGGACCGGCGGCGCGTTGGGTTTGGCGGCGGGCTGGCGTGCGTCCAGGAGGTGCTCCTTGCTCCCCCGACACCGGGCCGACCAGGCCGACACATCCGGCGGCAGCGCGGCCAGCGTGCCGTTTGTGTAAAACGATACCGACTTGACTGTTGTGCCCATGGGCATGCCCCCGCCTTGCTGCCCCGCAGCGCGCTGCACCAGGTGTAGCCTGTCACGTTCGGGCACACTTCGTCACAGTGCACCGCTGTTCGTCACCGTTCGTCACAGCTCGTCGACGTGTGACACGACGTGACAACTGGTGTGACTGGCTCACTCACGCCGTCACGGGCCTGGCGCCCCCGGGGGGCGCTTGCTGGAAAAGTGATAGTGGCGTGACGGCAAGCTCGTCTTTTTCTTCTCTCTCGCTCCGGGCCGTCCGGCGTGTCGTCCTCCTCCGGTCCTCGCCTGGCGGTCCTCGCCTGGCGGACGGAGCCTTCCTGGCTGTCCTTCCGATGCCATCGACACTGCAGTGCCGTGCCGCTCCGCGCTCCGCATTCCCTGCTGCAACCAGGAAGGCGTGTCGTGTCGCCTGCACTGCATCGCCTGCATCGCCTGCACCGCCTGCACCGTCCGTCGCGTATTCAAATGCCGAGCCTGGCGGAGCCTCCAGCCCGTCCTTCGTGCCAGTGTCCCTCCGTCCGCACTCGATCGCCGTGTCTGTCCGTCTGTCTGTCTGTCTGTTGCCGTTCTCCTCGTGTATTGTTTGCGTAGGTGACGCGTGTCCCATGTGCTTATTCTCGATAACACACACACACACACACACACACCTACGATACTCGCACTTTTCCTCTCTTCTGCTCTCCGGGGGGGGGGCTGATTTACGGTGTAGTATCGTTCTAATCCAGCCACACACACCGCCCCAGCAGTGCTTTGATTTTTCCTCGAGCCATATGTTTGGCTGCGGACTGCAATAATACTAAGACTTGCGAGAGTTGCACACCGTCGCCAGTAAGAAATGACCGCGCGCGTGTGTGTGTGTGTGTGTGTGTGACAACATTTCAAGTGTCCAGTACGGGGAAGTGGCGCGGTGCGGTCGCACACTGGCCGGACAAGGAGGCCTTTCAAGGTTCCGTTCGAGGGGCAAGCCGATAGAGTCGCGCCCCTCGACGCGCTGCTTCCAGTGCCCGCCACAACACTGGACCACAGTCTTCGCGTAAAACGGCCGACGCGATCCCCAGCAATGTCTCTCTTCGAATCGAATGCGTTTGTTCGTCAACTTATTTTAAAACTTGTGGAATTATTTCGAGTGTTCTAGTTTGGTCGCGCCTTTCGACAACGTTTCGCGAATGTTTATGCTCGGCGTGGCGGCGAGGTTGTAAAGTCTGTCGCCGGCACTGCGTCGCCCATGGGCTGCCCGGGGCACAGTGGGCTAGAAGACCGGTGGAGGCGGCCAAAACTCTAGACGCGTTTTGAGCTCCAGAGTCGCTATAAACAGGACTCGAACCGAACGTGTGACCGAACGGTGTTGGAAGGACAATCCATTGATGGGGTCACACGTTCGGTTCGAGACCCATTTAGCGACCCTGGAGCTCAAAACGCGTCTAGAGTTTGTCCGCCTCCACCGGCCTTCTGGCCCACTGTGCGGGGTGGCCCAGGGCCCGGCCCAGGGCTGTACACTGTGTTGACTGGCTGGCCTTGCCGCGGGCCTTGCCGCGGGCGTGGCGGTGGCGGCGCGGGGCGCAGGCTCGGGCGCGGGCCACGCCGCGGGGACGCAGGACGCAGTGCCGCTCGGTCCGCCCACCACCGCGGTCAGTTCGGCGATCTCCCCGCGTCCCAAGTACTCGTGGCGCGGACCGTCTTCGACCGTCTTCGGGAGCGATAAGGAAGGCCTTGGTGACGTCGCCGTGCCCTGACGGTGGTCGTCCTCCTGGCGGTGCGTGCGCCAGCAGCAGCGCCAGTCGAACGAGTCAAGGCGGTGCAGGCTGACTGACCGCCACGCACGCCACGCCACGCCACGCCACGCCACGCCACGCCTGCTGACTGGAGCGGTCCATCCGTCGCCATGGATACCCGGTACCCATACCCCCGCGCAGAGTACGTGTCTCCAAGGCCGCCAAATGGCTTCTGTTTTCAGCGGCGTCTGCAACACTTGCCCTTTCCGACGGCGGCCGAGTCGAGTTGGGTTCCCAGCAGTCCTTATGTGCGAAGCGTTGCTACTTATCTTTTGCACTGACCAAAAACAATGTCGACATTTTTCGCTGTGCATCGAGTTTTGAGTGCGGTGTGTGTGATAGCAGGCGTTGTGGCGAAATTGATAGATACGCATGTTCCCGTGTCGGATTGCTTTGTCATTTCTTGCGTGGACTCTATACGCTCTCTGCTCTTGACTACTCCTCGGTGAGCGCAGTTTCGCACTTTGCATTCACGCGGACATTGGATGGCTCAGATTAGCCGGCGTTTATTGCTTATTATTGTTGTCGCGCTGCAAAGCCTTGCCAATGAGTTGCCCGCAAGTGTATCAGATAACTCGGATTCACTGTCAATCTGCCGGCGGCGGACCGGCGGCGCCAACGGTGCCACACTGTGCGAACTTTGGCGAGCGAGTAGCGAAGCGAGAGTCAAGGGCGCGTTGGCAGGGGCCTCGCCGCACGGTGGGCCAGAAGACCGGTGGAGGCGGCCAATACTCGAGACGCGTTTTGAGCTGCACAGTCGCTCAATAAGACTCGAACCGAACGTGTGACCCCACCAATGGATTGCTCTCCGAACGAGGAATCCATTGGTGGGGTCACACGTTCGGTTCGAGTCCCATTTAGCGACTCTAGCTCAAAACGCGTCTAAGAGTTGTTTTGGCCACCTGCGCCGGTCTTCCGGCCCACTGCGTGGCCGCCGCGCGACGAGTCGCCGACGACGCGGCGTTACGTGGTTCGTGCACGCCGTCATGTGGGCGGAACGTGCCTTGCCGAAGCTGAGGCCGGGGATGAAGTGTTGAGGTCCTTCCCGGCGCATTTTGCGTCACCAGGGATTTGGCGGCCGTGCCACCACACTGCCACCGCTTGGCAAGCGGACTCGAGGGCCGCCCAATGAATGTGCCAGTCATTTTCAGATAAAAAGGAATCAGAAATAAAGATGAATGAGTGAGAAGCACCGGCAGCTGCAGTTTGACGACTTTGAGGACTTTCCCTTGCTGCGATCTGTCTCGACGCACATTTGTCTTCTTTCTTTCTTTCTCGCCGTGATTTGCTTTACCGATGCCACGCACGACGCGTGGCACGACAGTACGGAAGGCCGAGGGGGGAAGCGAGAGGCCTCCGAGAATAAACTCATTTTCTTCCTGACGGACTTGGAGCGGGTTCGATTCCCGTTGGAGCGCGACGTTTAATTGGTCTGTCCTTTCCCGTTCCGTTGCAGCGACATGGAGCACAGCCTGCATGAGCGCGACCGCGTGGGGGTCCAGGATGCCGTCATGCTGGAGAACCACACGGACGAGCGGGCCTTCGTCGAGAACCTCAGGAAGAGGTTCAAGGAGAACCTCCCCTACGTGAGTGTCCACCTCGGTGTCAACAGAAAAGCAACAAAACAAGGGCGTGACAATGTTTTTATCTTTTTTTTTGCACGTGTCTCTGTCCCTGCAGACCTACATCGGCCAGGTCCTGGTCTCGGTGAACCCCTTCCAGGACCTGCCCATCTACACGCCGCAGGTGATCGAGGAGTACCAGAAGACGCACTTCTTCGACGCGCCGCCGCACATGTGAGTGACAAAGTGCTTCGCGACGTCCAGCTTGATGACCAGCTTGACGGCCAGCTCAGCGGGATAAACGCTGCCATTTGCCGCGCCGGGCTTTCCCTCGCGGGCTTGACCCTGGAGAGACTCTAGAGAGGTTTTAGAGAGACCCTAGAGAGGTCTTAGAGACACCCTAGAGAAATTTTAGAGACCCTCGGGAAATTTTACGGAGATTTTAGAGAAACCCTAGAGAAATTTTAGAGAGACCAAAGAATAATTTTAGAGGAACCCTAGAGAAATTTTGGAGAGATTTTAGAGATACCTTAGAGAGATTTTAGAGAGACCCTAGAAAGACCTCTTGCGAGTCTCTCTAATGTCTCCCTACCCGAGCGTGCTCGGAAACAAGCACCGTCAGCACTCCTCGGCGCAAAAGCCGCTTAAAGCTCATTTTGGCCATAAAGCCACGGCGGCGGTCTGGTTTTGATAACGATGATTGACACGAATCGTTTTAAGGCGCGGCGTTTGCGAGGAAGGCTAGGAAGGGCCCGAAGGCGGGGTCGAAGGGCAAGGGAGGGGCCGGCGGGGCCGGCGGGGCCGCAGGGCGTGGCGACGCGGCCAAACATTAACGAAATCGATTACCGGTCCAAAACGCCAGGTAACTAACTAATGGAACGTAAAAGAGAAAGAGACGGACACTGGATCGCGAAATCAATACCCGAATATCAAGCTAGCGGTAAATCTCCGTCCGTGCCGCGCGCGAAGGGGTCGGCGTCTTACGGGCGCGAAAACGAACGGCCCATCTCTAAATTCGAGCAGAGCTTCCCGACAGTGCAATGCAAACCGGTACCGCTTGGCTGCTTGGCCGGCTGCGCTGGCTGCGATCGGAATGGGGCTCGTTCGATCCGGGCTGTATCTTATCTCGAATAAACACGTGCAGCGGAGCTTATCGATGCCGAACAAAAGGCATTGGCGCACTGGCGCCGCGCCGGGATTTAAAATTTAAAAGAAGCTGTCGGGTCCGCGGCGCGCCAACGCAAAGTGGACCAGATGACCGGTGGAGGCGGCCAAAACTTTAGACGCGTTTTGAGCTCCAGAGTCGCTGAACGGGACTCGAACCGAACGTGTGACCCCATCGATGGTTTGCTCTTCGAGCGAGGAATCCATTGGTGGGGTCACACGTTCGGTTCGAGTTACTTTTTGCGACTCTGGAGCTTAAAACGCGTCTAGAATTTTGGTCACCTCCACCGGTCTTCTGGCCCACTGTGCAACGTTATGCCAGAGGGAGCGTGCGGTCCTCGAGACATGCGCGATTGTGGCCGGCCTCTCGCGGCCTCTGGCCACCGCGCCGCTCCGGGCCGAGCCGGGCGGTGACAGGTGCATTCGGCACCACGCCGCCGCCTTGCCGGCGCCCGCTGCATCATCAAGTGCATCACGGCGGGTTGCGCGTGGCGGCGGCTGCTTGGCCGACTTTCTGAGGTCGGCAGGCATTTTCAAACCGCCGCGATGGACTGTTTCGGCCGAGCAACGACCCCCATGGACCAACCGACCGCCAAGGCCTCCACTGCGAAACCGTTTCCGAACAGAGCGACGTCTTGGACGTGTTCGGTGCCACGCAGGGCCACGCCGGCCGGCGGTGGTGTTCCATTCCACTCGGCGAGTCGCGCGCCCAGAAACAGCTGTGCGGCCGGCGGCGTGTTCGGGCGCGCGCCGCCAGACGGCGCCACGGTCGGCTGCCCGCCGGCCGGCCTGCACTGCAAGGGCCTGCACTGCAAGGGCCTACGCTGCCTGCGGCCGCCGCGGGTTGGTCGGACACGGCCCGGCACCGCCCGGCGCGGCGGCCAAATTACGTCACAGGGATTGGCGGTGCGTTCAATTAGGCCACCAGGAATGCCGAGCTTATCGGCTCCGATCCGCCGCGACGCGTCCGTGGCCGTCCGTGGCCGTCCGCGACGGTCGCCGATTGGTTTGGCGGCCGAGTCAGCTGAGCGCGCTAAGCGGCTATCGGTGCGCGGGCAACTCGAAGGAGTGTCACTGCCAGGCCGGCCGGCCGGTGAATCATGCCTCGCAGGCCGTGCAGGCCGTGTGATAAGCCCGGCGGTACCGCGAAACGTGGAAAACGGAAAGGGACTTAACGTGTAGTGACGCGAAAAAGCGGGGCTGCACACGGCACAGACCGGCCCCTTGGTCTGGGAAACCGATGCAACAGGGAATTCCGCGAGGCTGGATTAAATCAGCGGCTTGCGAGGGGAACCAGCGACCGTGTCGTCCTTTGGCGGTCCCGAGGTCTGAGGAGAGACGCGACACGCGAAATCGACGCGCTGCTGAAGGTTGGACACTGTCCTTTCCAGCGTGGGGCAACCCCGCGGGACGTCCGGCAGTGGGCCGTCTGTCTGCCATCACGACGATGGATCAGGCGAATGCATTTCGACAACTTCCTCTGGCCGAGGACAGCGGTGAGGGAACCGCGCCGCCTAGCCCGTCCTATCACTTAGAGCCACGCGCCCCGCCCGCCTTGCCCCGCCCCGCCGTCGCCGCCATGTTTTGTTTTACCTCGCCCTTGATTGCTGGTCACGATCCAGATGGTGTGCACGAGCCGGGCCAGAGGTTAGGTCCCCTGCCGTGACTGCGCGGGGCGGGGCCGGGCGGGGCGGGGCGGGGCCGCCGCTTGTATCAAGTTTTTTGTTCTTTTCCGGTCGGGAACATCGCGACTTGAACACGAGCGGCGAGAGAGCGAGCGAGCGGGCTTTGACCCCGCCTGCCTGCCTGCCTGTCTCGAACGTGAACCGCCGCGCCGTCACAGCGAGGCAAAGCGAAGCACGGCGACGAGCGAATAGCGAATCGCTTGGCGGGCGTGACAGTGTAGGCTACTTAAGGCCGCACGCCGCCTGCGCGCTGCACTGCCCCGTGGCGCGCGCGTGCGTTGCGGGCTGGCCTACCCCGAGCACCGCAGGCGCTCCACTGCCGTCTCCCTCCCTCCCATTGCCCTCTGGCGGGACTGAGGGGGACAGAGCGACCCGACTCGACGTAATTAAGGGACGCCCTCATTGTTTCGTCACCGATTGCGCGGCCCCGTTTTCCTTTATCGGCGCCACTCGGACCAGGACGGGCTGTGACGCGGTGCGATGGTGGCTGTGGTCGCGGTGGCCCGGCGCGCCGAATCGGCTGTGGCTTCGCCGGATCAGCCTGTGCCGTGTGGCCCGAACAGTGTCGTCGCTCTGTCTCTCTCGCACTCGTGCGGGACGCCCCGCGGGTGCGAGAGAGACAGAGCGACGGATCAGTCTGAGCGGGGGCGTCGCCCTGTGGTCTTCCCTCCCCCCTCTGCGACGACCCAATACCTCGCGCGGCCGGCCTCTCGCTGTCAGCGACGCCGGGATGACTCAGTCCGACTCGGTCTCTCCAGACGCCCTCCCCCCCTTTTTCTGTTCCGGGGTCGCCGTCTGGATCCTGGATTTGCATAGAGTGGCTGTCCAGGAAGGCACCTGGGAGGCACTGCGGCCTGGCTCGGCCTGGCTCGGCCTCTCGGACAATCGATACTCATCACTTAGAAGCTTTCCGGAAAAACAAACGCAAAGGGCCTGTAAGGAGCGCCGGCCGCCGGGCGTGGCTGCAGACTGGTGTCGAACAACAGCGCCCTGTCTCTGTCGCACTCGCAGGGCGCCCCGTCGGGGTGCGAGAGAGACAGAGGCAACAAAGTAGCAAAGTTGCGGCGGGTGAATTAAATGAAGTCGTTTGCTCCTTTTTTTTTGTGTCTGTAGAGTGCTGGTGTTGACTCATGCGTGGGCTTTCTGCTTGCAGCTTCGCCGTGGCCGACACCGCGTACAGGTCGCTGTGCAAGGAGAACCGGGAACAATGCGTGCTTATTTCTGGTGAGCGGACTGGGCTGCTTCCTCGATGCAAGCCGTTTCAGGCAAGCCGCGGAACTGCGGTTCGCCCAGAGTTACGACTGCGGTTCGATAGAGGGAAATGCGGATTGTTGGATTTTGGCCCCTCCGAGCGAACCGGCGGTCTCCTGGTGGCTTGCTCTTTGCACGCTTTCTCATAAAATGAATGTTTTTACGACGCAGGCGAGTCCGGCGCGGGCAAGACGGAGGCCTCCAAGAAGGTGCTGCAGTACATCGCGGCGGCCACCGGCAAGGGCCGCACCGTGGAGGCCGTCAAGGACAAGCTGCTGCAGTCCAACCCGGTGCTGGAGGCGTTCGGCAACGCCCGGACCAACCGCAACAACAACTCGAGCCGCTTCGGCAAGTACATGGACATCGCCTTCAACTACCGCGGCGACCCCGTGGGCGGCAACATCCTCAGCTACCTGCTGGAGAAGTCACGCGTGGTGCACCACAACCCGGGCGAGCGCAACTTCCACATCTTCCACCAGCTGCTGGCGGGCGCCGACGACCAGGTGCTGGCCAAGCTCAAGCTGTCCCGTGACCCCGCCCAGTACCACTACCTGACCAACGGGGTGAGTGTCCACGCCGCGAGCGCCTCGCGCTCCCTCGACCGAGTCTAATTCACAGTGTGTCGACCCGCAGCACCAGGTGAACCGCGCGGACCTGGAGGTGAGCACGGACAGGGCCGACTTCCAGGCCATGTGCCGCGCCATGTCCACCATGGAGCTGCAGCAGGAGGACCAGGACGCCATCCTGGCCATCGTGGCGAGCGTCCTGCACCTGGGCAACATCACCTTCGCCGAGGTGGACGGCGTGGCCGCCGTGGAGAAGCCCAAGGAGGTGGCCATCATCGCCGAGGTGCGTAGTCGCGGGTTCGAGTCCCGGCGTCGCCCCGTTGTCCCGTGTGCTCACCGTTGACCTGTCCTGCAGCTGCTGGGCTGCGACGCGCGCCGCCTGAGCGAGGCCCTGGTGAGCCGCACCATCGACGCGCACGGAGACAAGGTGACGTCCCCGCTGTCGCGCGACATGGCGGTGTACGCCCGCGACGCCCTGGCCAAGGCCGTGTACGACCGCCTCTTCACCTGGCTGGTCCGCAGGCTCAACTTCAGCTTGCAGCCGCCGCGCGAAGAGCGCAACGACGTCGTCATGGGCATCCTGGACATCTACGGCTTCGAGGTGTTCCAGAAGAACAGGTGGGGCTCGGCATGGCAACCGCCAGAATTCAAAGCTTGCGGTGAAACTAACACACTGTTTTCTTGGTTCAGCTTCGAGCAGTTCTGCATCAACTTCTGCAACGAGAAGCTGCAGCAGGTGTTCGTGGAGCTGACGCTCAAGTCCGAGCAGGACGAGTACCTGCGCGAGGGCATCGAGTGGGAGGCGGTGACGTACTTCGACAACAAGGTCATCATCGACCTGATCGAGCAGCGGCACCGCGGCCTCATCGCCCTCCTCGACGAGGAGTGCCTGCGGCCCGGCGAGCCCACCGACCTCAGCCTGCTGGCCAAGTTCAACGAGCACCTGGACGGCCACCCGCACTACGTGTGCCACCGCACCGCCGACAAGCAGACCCAGAAGACGATGCAGCGCGAGGAGTTCAAGCTGGTGCACTACGCCGGCGACGTGACGTACCGCATCGACGGCTTCCTGGAGAAGAACAACGACCTGCTGTTCCGCGACCTCAGGGAGACCATGACGTTCTCCACCAACTCGGTTACCCAGGTGCAGTCCCACCTGCCCGTTTTGAACTTCCAACTGGTTCCTCTCAAGGCGTGCTAACCTCCCCGCTCTGCCCGCAGACCACGTTCCCCGAGAGCGAGCTCCGCACCAAGAAGCGCCCCGAGACGGCGGTGACGCAGTTCAAGAACAGCCTGAACCGCCTCATGGAGATCCTGATGTGCAAGGAGCCGTCGTACATCCGCTGCATCAAGCCCAACGACTTCCAGGCCGCCGGCATCTTCACCGAGGAGGTCGTCATCCACCAGGTGCGTGCGTGCACACCACGGCGCCACGCCACTGCCAAGCGACGGCGATACTCGGCGCGCGCGCGCGGCGCTGGCGCACGGGGTATACGCCCAACCCGCCGGCCCCCTGGGGCTAAGAAAAGTTGTTCCGTCGCTCTGTCTCTAGCCGCGCGCTAATTTTGCTTGTTCGGCGTGCAGGTCAAGTACTTGGGGCTGATGGAGAACCTCCGCGTGCGGCGCGCGGGCTTCGCGTACCGCCGGCCCTACGAGGCGTTCCTGGAGCGCTACAAGAGCCTGTGCCCCGCGACGTGGCCCAACTACCGCGGCCCCGCCAAGGACGGCGTCGGCACGCTGGTGAAGCACCTCGGGTACCAGCCCGACGACTTCCGCATGGGCAAGTAAGTGTGGCGGGTGGTGGCGGCGTTGTTTGAATCCCTAGGCGGTGATCGCGGTGTCTGACTGCCTGTCCGTGTCCGCAGCACCAAGCTGTTCATCCGGTGGCCGCGCACGCTGTTCAGCACGGAGGACGCCTTCCAGCAGCACAAGCACCACATCGCCGCCATCATCCAGAAGGTGTGGAAGGGCCGGCGGCAGCGGCAGATCTTCCTGCGCATGCGGGCGGCCGCCATCCAGATGCAGGCGCTGGCCAGGGGCTTCCTGGCGAGGCGCAGGGCGGACCGGCGTCGCCAGGCCGCCGTCACCGTGCGCAAGTTCATCGAGGGCTTCATCACGCGCAACGGGCCGCCCACCGACCTCAACAGGTGCGGCATGAACGTGGAACACGTGGAACGTGGAACGCGCGCTGCCGGGACTCGAACCCGCGACTAACCCGCCCCGCGTGCCCGCGTGTTGCAGGCGCTTCATCATGCTGTCCAAGTGCGAGTACCTGACGCGCCTGTCGCGCTCGCTGCCCAAGTCCGTCCTGGACAAGTCATGGCCGCCGGCACCGCCGCACTGCACCGAGACGTCGCAGATCCTGCGCCGCCTGCACACCTCCTGGCAGGCCAGGAAGTACTGCCTGGGCCTGAGCGCGCAGCGCAAGCGGCAGCTGCAGCTCAAGCAGCACGCCGAGGAGCTGTTCAAGGGTCAGTCCAATCCCACTGCAAGGCTTGCTTTGAGGGTAGCCACGGTGAACGCAACGCGCGAGCAGCTGCAGCGCGGCAGCGCGGACCGTGTCCACGGTCGCGATACCCCCTGCCTGCGGCGTTGCTCTGCGCGCGGGGTATCGCCAGCGGCAGGGGCGAGGCAGGCCGGCAGGCACGGCTGTCCCGCGGGACCGGCCGCCTCGCAGGCGCCCCACTGTCTGCGTGTCGAAATGAGCCTGACGTACTCTACGCCTGTTGCAGGGAAGAAGAAGAGCTACCCGCAGAGCGTGGGGCCCTTGTTCGTGGAGGACAGGCTCAGCGAGGAGCAGCGGGCGCTGCTGCCGTCCTTCAGGAACTCGACCTCGGAGAAGATCAGGGTGAGTGTCCTCTCTCCGTCGTTGTTCGCACCGGAGAGTGTCAGAGTCCGCTGAACGTGCCGTTCGTGCTTCCAGTACTGCTGCCCCGTGACCAAGTTCGACCGGCACGGCTACAAGCCCCGCGAGCGCGCCCTGGTGGTGACGGACGACGCGCTGTACCTGCTGGAGGGCCGCACCTTCAAGCTCAAGCACCGCCTGGCCTTCGAGTCGCTCAACGAGGTCGCCATCACGGCCGAGGGCGACTCGTTCCTGCTGCTGCGGATCCCCACCGACCTCAAGAAGGACAAGGTGGGTGTCGTCTGCCTCCCTCTCAGCAGGGATCTTAGTATTCTTGAAAATGCCAAGACATGAAAATGAACAGCGGAAAAGTAACATGCTTGATTTGTTTTCTCCTCTCGCAGGGTGATCTGATTCTGCAAGTTCCTCATCTGATTGAGGCGGTTACCTTAATCGTGGACTCTGCAAGGAAACCTCAGATGCTCAACATTGTCGAAGGAGGAACGTAAGTGTTTTTAACTTTAAGAAAACCTTCTAAATATAGATCTCTCTTTAGTGTGGCAAAAAGTTAATTATACAATTTTCTCTTTAAATTTCAGCATTTCACATACGTACAGCGGAGGAAGTGGAGTCATCGACATCACTAGAGGAGCAAGTCCAGCCATCACCAAGGGGAAGCAAGGCCACCTCATTGTAGTGGGTTAGCCACTATAAGGTCCAATAGTGCCGCAAACTAATGCAGAAGAGTCTTACTTTTATGTCCGTACTTCATAAAATATTTAAACTGTAAGATAACACAATTATGAATTAAGTAAGTCTCTTAATTGACTGCATTTGTGTATGTGAATATTGTGTATAGTGTTTGATAAAGCTTTAAACTAGTTTTTGGTTTTTAAGTATTTGGGCTGGATCCCAAGTACTTATAGCTGTGATTCAGGTTTTCTTTTTATTAAAGTCCTTTTGAGATTTAGCTGTGAATGAAAGCATAATTGCTCTAAATGCCATGGTAAGATTTTTAATGTGTGGGACCAACGTTTGGATGGATGAATGTATGACATATGTTCTTGTCTGTGATCTTTTCTTTAAGTTGTGGGAGGAGAATTATTGAATAGACTGTTGGTCAACACTTCATTAGTACCCAGAAATATGGAATGTCACTAATGCGCATAGTATGTAATAAGACAGTAGAAGTTTAAAAAAATCCGTACAGTTTCATTTTGCAAGTCCATAAAATATATACTGTATACTGTGCTGTCAAATCATGAAACTTTCCATGGTAAAGTTTTCATCTCCTTTCAAAGGTTCCACATCACTGGAGAGTATCCAAGATACTACTCTGCATTTTTATGAATATGAAATCAGTATTTTGTAATAGTAATTTTAATTGTGATGTGGTGTACATACAGCTTTGGTGCTATACTATGTTATATTTTGTCTTTTATGAAATGATTTTTGTTCCGTTAGTTAAGTTTTACTCATGCTTTTAATATTCAAATTGAGTTATAATAAAATGCTTATGAAATCTATTGTAAAAGCTCCACTCTTTTTATTCCCCCACCATAAATCGAAAGATAACATTTTGGGGGAAGTGCCACCATAACACACACTGTTAGTGTGCGCAGAGCCCGGCGAAGGGAGTTCTAGAGTTTCTCATTAGAACACGATACATGTCATTTCGCGCCTGCGTCCAACATGATGGAATATCAGCTCGCTGTCATTCGATCACTGGATGCTCCCTGGAGCCGACCTCACCCGGCTCGCTACCGCTACCGCTACCCCTGGACGGTGGTGGCCAGCCACTGCACTTGCAGTCTTCGGCTCGAGGGGCTGGGAGGGAGAGGGCTGGGCAGCAGGGGACAGGGTGGGAGGGGAGTGGGGGAGGAACCTTCCATCCCAACGCTCCAGACGTTGCAACTATTTCAAAGTCGGTCTTTTTTCCCGCCAAGCCGCCAACTTGCCGGCCGCAGCACACATGGCCCCGCCCCGCCCCGCCCCGCCCCGCCCCGCCTCTGCGGCCGCAGCGCGCGCCAACTTCAACACCACGCGGGAAACACCTAATCTCGTTTGGCGCAGCCTTTGGCACATCCCGCTGTGGATTTCCTCGTTTGAAACACGGACTGCGACCCACGTCCCGACTTCAGGTCTCTTTACCTCGAAACGGTGCGAGAAGCGAGGCGCGCGGAGCGCGCGCTGGGCGTGATGTGCCTCAGACGGCCACACTGAGGGCAAGGTAGGCCGCCGCCACACCGGCGCGTTGTCAGGGGCCTACCAGCAGGCGCTACAGGTTGGCACCGTCCCACGAGGCCGACCCCTTGCTTGGAACTGCAGGCATTTTTGCGCGGGGCATCGACAAAATCCTGATTTTCCCAACCCATGAGGCTGACATTGGCGCGAAATTCACAGGGCAGCCGATCCAAAATAAGTCACCCGCCGCTTTGAAAAGTCCGTGCATTCGCTTGCGGGCGACGGCGTCGACGGCAACTATTCATAAAAGTGACTAACACGACTTGACGCGTTCCCGAGTGGTTGGCCCGGGGGAATGGGGGCAAAACGCGTGGCAGGGCGAAACGAAAGCGCTCTCGGGTGCTGTTCGACTCGAGTCGCGAGTCGGTCTCGCCTGTCCCGCCTCGCCCGCCTCGCCCGCCTCGCCCCCGCGGTATTGCCGTTGCTCGACACGTTTCCAGGCGGGCTTCTGTATTTCGACCAAAGTTAGTTGCGTCCCCCGGCACCGGCGTGGCGCGGCGGCGCGGCGGCGGCGCGCTGTCCGACAAGTTTGCCGCATGAATTCTTTATCAGCCCGCTCGACGCGGTGGTGCCATGGTGGCGCCGGCGACGCCCCGGCCGGCCAGGCCTCGGACTGGAACACCAGTTCCACAATTCCTCGTTCTGCCACTTTCAAAATCAGCCCCTTTTCGAAGCGCTCTTTATTTCAAATTAAAAAATCTGACTCTTACGCTGTCTTTTTGAATTTTAAATTTTGGGGGGTTTGTAACACTGCCTACGAGCTGGTGCCACCATGGATTTCTGCGAGCAGGTGGGGGCGGTATACGCTAGCGGTTCGTTCGCGATGAGGCCAGCCGATGGACAGTGGAAGAGGAGGAATCAGGTGGAAAAACAACATCAAATAACACCATTTATAAAAATTGTAACGATTTTTTATTAAACTTGACAAAACAATTTATATTAATAAGGTAAAATTTGACTTAGATTCTTATGAAACAAAACATGGAAAAAGAAACACGTTTCATCCAAATCAGCGAGAGATTTCCCGCTAACGAGTACATATATTATTACTTCACTATTCAAGAGGAAACAAGAATTGTTTACACAATAGCACTATGCACACAACGCCTCCCACAATGACCCACGTTTATCACACATTTAAGTTAGTACCGCCATCCTGACTAGTCCCGGAAGTCGATGGTTGATTGTCTCTCTCTAACACACTAACCAGAGGACGAGATAATTGCTGAACGAATCAATCACTCAGTCAGTCTCGCGGTACAATTCAAATCACATCCTTTGTGAACACTGTCCTAAGCCTTCCCACACTCCCACACTCCCTCTCTCCCTCACTCTTAAATAAAAAAGTCTTTGATTGAAAAAATATATCGTCTTTAACGACGATACGAAATATACACTCCAAGGCAACTATATCATCAATATTCAAGCTTGCCTATGATACATGCAAAAGAACACTACCTTCTTCAAAGGTACTGAAACGTACTGACCATCTGATATTCACACCAGCCGACCAGCCACTCGGGTTATCCCACACGTTTGTCCCTGCTTGAAAAATAAAGAAATCCAACGATGATCTGCCTTCAGCATCAGATTTGCGAATTTTAAGCGCACGCGCAGTTGATTTTGCAGTGCGACCGAAAACACACGTCACTCCCGGAAGAAAATTACGATTCAGCGTGCACAAACAAACCCACAAACACACGCGTGCAAGTGTTTCCCTTTCTTGGAGGCTTTTATACATCGTCTCGGCCGACTCTGCGTCGCTCTGCGTGAACCGTGGGCTAATCCAGAGGACCTAGAGTCGCATCATCAAAGGCTCCGTCCCCCTCCCTCCCTTCCCGTGGGGCTGGTTTGGCTGGTTTGGCTGGCAGCGTGCCTAGTCGTGACAATGGCCGGGGTTGGAGACGGCCAAGGCGCGGCCAAGGCGCGGCCTGGCGGCAGACGGAAGGCGGAAGCGAGGGACTAAAAGACTAAAAGGCTCAAATCCCCCACGGCCGCCACCCCACAGTGGGCCAGAAGACCGGTGGATGCGGCCAAAATCCTAGACGCGTTTTGAGCTCCTGAGTCGCTTTATGGAACTAGAACCGGACGTGTGACCCCCCACCAATGGATTCCTCGTTCGGAGAGAAATCCATTGATGGGGTCACACGCTCGGTTCGAGTCTAAATTAACGACTCTGGAGCTCGCAACGCGTCCGATTTCGGCCGCCTCCACCGGCCTTCTGGCCCACTGTGCGCCCGCGCCGCCAGCGCCATCTATCGGCCGGAAAGCGCCTCGGGCCGCGGCAAGGGCCGAGCAGCGCGTCAACTTTAACTGTCGCCCTCGAAAGCAATTGGCCGCACCAGTACACTGGGGCGACGCGCCCCTCGGCCGCGGACTCCGCGAAGCCCTCCGCGATGACGCCGCGGAACTCAGGTCGGCAGTAGTTTCGAGGTAGAGAATGGCTGGCACGCGAAGAAGACCATCAATGGTTGTTTTTTTTACAGACGAAGGGTTGAGTTTGTCGAAGAGAGAAATAAGTTACCGAGCAAGCAGCTGCCTCAAGCAACGACATTTTTCAAAGGAAATCGTTTCTCCGCGTGAGAGCACGAACTGGTTCCGCTGTCCGTTGACTAGTTGGTTCCGTTCTTCGCGTCACTCGGTCCAAAAATGGAACGCGCCTTGAAAACGAATCACGCAGTGTCTCCGCTCTGATTCCATTTTGCGAGCCGGGCCGCCGAGTGGTGAGCCACCCGAGTCTGCCCGAGTCCCGCGTCGCGCCCGCGTCGTGTCGGGTGGCTCAAAGTGGCGGCGCGGCGACGGCGGGGTCCGGGGACAGGACGTCCAGGACGTCCAGGACGACCAGGACGTCCAGGGCCGCGTCCACGCGTCACGGCGCAGGCCTGCCCCGCGGCCGGGCCGGCCGGGCGGTGTATCATCTGACGGCCCAGCGAGTGACGCCCAGCAGCGCCGGCAGCAGCAGCAGCGGGAGGCGAACCTCGGACCTCGGCGTGGCGGCCGAGTTCGCACAGTGACCTGGAGCGAGGGCAGGCGGGGATGAGTGTCAAAGGGCCTCGGGGCTCAGCCACACTGCACAGTGGGCCAGAAGACCGGTGGAGGCGGCCAAAATTCTAGACGCGTTTTGAGCTCCAGAGTCGCTAAGCAGGACTCAAACCAAACGAGTGACCCCACCAATGGATTCCTCGTTCGGAGAGCAATCCATTGGTGGGGTCACACGTTCGGTTCGAGTCCCATTTAGCGATTCTGCAGCTCAAAACGCGTCTAGAATTTTGGCCGCCTCCTGGCCCACTGAGCACTGCTGCCCTGGACCTCACCGTTGGGCGTGAGGTCGAAGGCCCAGAAGACGGCCTCGGCCTCGACGGGCGGCGCGTCCTCGAGGGTGTGGGCCTGGGCGCGCTCCTGGAGGCCGTGGAGGCCGTGCAGGCCGTGCAGGTGGTGGCGGTGGCACTCCTCGCCCACGCGGGACTGGATCACGATGGAGGGCTGCTGCCGCAGCGCGCTCTGGGCCGCCGCGCCGTCGCCCGCGTTGAGCACGGCGCCCGCGTCGTCGGCGATCAGCTCGCGGTACACGAAGCACAGCCGGCGCACGGCGGGGTCCGCGTCGCGACGCAGCGCCTCGGCGCCCGCCGGCCCGGACTCCACGCCCACGCCCCAGCCCGGCAGCGTCCCGGACACCGTCCCGGACAGCGTCGCCGACACCGGCACGGCGATGGTGAAGCTGGTGCCGTTGTCGCTCCAGCTGCCGTGGCACGAGTACGCTGCGAAAACAAAGTTAGTACACGCTGAAAACCATGCCAACTATTTTGAGCAAACGCACAGTGGGCCAGGAGGCCGACGCCGGCGTTTTGAGCTCCAGAGTCGCTAAACAGGACTCGAACCGAGCGTGTGACCCCACCAATGGACTCCTCGTTCGGAGAGCAATCCATTGGTGGGGTTACACGTTCGGTTCGAGTCCCATTCAGCGACTCTGGAGTTCAAAACGCGACCGGGATTTTGACCGCCTCCTGCGGTCTTCTGGCAAATCCCCTGCAGTGCGGTGGCGGGGCGTACCGGTGATGCTGTCCGCCTCGCAGTGCGAGTGGAACTCCATGGTGTGGCCCGTGCCGCAGCCCACGTCCAGGGACTTGGACCCCAAGGCGGTGGCGCGGCGGGCGCTGGCCTTCGGGTCCTTCGGGTGGGGCCGCACCAGGCTGTTGATGTCGTTGTTGTCGATGTCCTTGTTGTTGTTGATGATGTCGTTGGCCCTGCTGCTGGGGTGCGTACTGCACACGATGTCGCCGCCCAGGTAGTTGGTGACGGCGTACCTGCCCGAGTAGGGGCACTGCCTGTGCTGGGGGTCGGACGCTGAGCAAGGGAAACAGAACAGAAAAGTTTGAGGCGCTGGTCTCAAACGTCGGGACCGCATACCGAGCCCCCCTCTTGATGACGTCACGACGCCGCGTCAATCTCTGAATCTTTGATCCGCTTCGATTAATCGCCACCCTCCTGGGTGTCGCGGGGCGCGAGGCGCGAGCTGCCGGCCGCCGACCGCGCCAGGCCACGCCAGGCCACGCCAGGCCACGCCAGGCCACGCCACACGGCAAGGAGTCGGGTTAAAGTTGCAGGGGCGTGCGTTATGGAGGAGCAACTTGCATTCGCTGCTCGATGTCCGAGTGGCGGACTCTGGCTCGCCGTGCGGGGCAGAGGATACAGTAGGCCAGAAGGCCGGTGGAGGCGGCCAAAACATGTTTAGCGCTCCAGAGTCGCTAAATGCGTCCGGTTCGAGTCCTGTTTCGCGTCTTGAATTTTGACCGCCTCCACCGGTTTTTTGTGGCAGGGCTGACTTGGGGCCAGACTGACTCCAGGCCGGTCCCTGCCACGCGACTGGCAGTCCACTGTGCCACTCGGTTATTCCAGTCCTTTACGCGGCCCGTGGCCTTTATGCAGTGCCGTGGCGGAGTGACGGAGTGACGGGGTGACGGGGCGAGGGCCGTACTCACTTATGAAGGTGGTGAAGCGCTCGGACAGCGGGTCGAAGTTGTCAGCGCGGCAGGCCTCCTCGGCGCTTCCGGTGTGGGCTGCGGGAAGAGCACAGTCAAAGCCCTGTCCGGCCGACCAATCAAACGCGCGGAAAACGCGGCGGGTGTTTTCAAAAATAGTTACCCGAACGCTGCATCTCCATGACGTGCCTGTCCCGCTGGTAGAGCCGGAGGCAGCTGTAGCCGCTGTCGCTGCGGGCGAGAAGGAGAAAGAGTCAGGCGAATCGCTTTTATTCGGACTGGGTTACAAGTTTGGCCGTGACAAATGGCGCGGTGACTGCAGCCTGTCCTTCTCGCACCCCTCGCGGCACGGCGGCACGGCCCACGAGTGCGAGAGAGACAGGTTCGGCATCGAGGCGCGGTAATGGATGCCATTTTTCGTGCCGTCTCTAATTACTTCCACAAGACGCCCAGCGCGCAGCGGACTGCCCCAAGGACTGGCCGGACTGCCGCATCAGTCTCGACGTGTGCGGCTTTTCTTTTAGGGCTTTTCGGGCTTTTCGGGCGGCGGAGCTGAGTCATGGTTCGGCCGTCCAGAGTTCTAGCCCGCTCCCCTGGCCATTTTTTCATTCAACATTTCTTGGTACCAGCTAACACATTCTAAATAAAAGTGTTCTTTCTCCCTCACGGATCGTCGGTTTGAGTAATTCGAGGGGAGTGGCTGAGGCGATGTGATGAAAGAGAGGCATTCCTGCTACTCACCAGCCCAGCGTGACGTGCGCCACCAGCTGCACGACGCGGTCGCTGCGCTCCGTCACCGAGTGGCACGTCATGGACTCCTCGTGGAGCTGCAAGTTTGAGGTTAGGTTAGACCGAGACTCGTCCAAAGCACATGTCACTGGGAGGCCCTCGCTTACGTTGACGGCGTGCTGGTCGGTCTGCGCGCGCGGCCGCGGCCCGACGTGCAGGTCGTTGTCCTGGTCCTCGGCGGCCTCGTCGGCGTCCTGGTGGTGGCGGTGCAGGTGGTGGCGGTGGTGGCCGCGCAGCCGGCGCAGCGTCACGTTGTGCAGCCCCACCTGCAGCTGCAGGTGCTTGTTGAGGGACTGCCAGGCGTGGTGCGCGCGCAGCCATTCGGGCAGGCGGCACGGCGGCCACCTCTGGCGGACTGCAACGCAAGGATCACCACATTCAGATTGCCATTCGTTCTGTCTGTCTGTCTGTCTGTCTGTCTGTCTGTCTGTCTGTCTGTCTGTCTGTCTGTCTGTCTGTCTGTCTGTCTGTCCGTCCACTTATTAGCAGTGCATCGCCTTGACGCCGTGACGCCTCCTCTCCCGGACGCGCATCGGGCTGCTGCCGCGCTGCCGCCCCCGTCCTCCTCGGGGAACGTCTACCCGGATCATACCCCGATCCCCTGGGAACCCTGCGAGCGCGTCCCGCCCTCCTGCGTGCTCTGCATTTCTCTGCATGGTGGAGTGTGTGTGTGTGTGTACAGTGTGCCAGCGTGTGTGTCTTTCCCGCGCGTGGGCCCCAAGTAGGTTTACTACATGGCCTAACACTACCTGGAAACGCTCTTCGTTGCCGTGGCCTGGTACCCGGGCCCCCTCCCCCTCTCTCTCCCTTCCCTTTCCCCTTTCACACACACACACACACACACACACACACACACACACACACACACACACACACACACACACACACACACACGCGCGCGCGAAATAATAACGGCTCCAGACCACTACGCGACTATTTCATTTGTGGCCGCTCTGCTATGGGCTCCGCTCCACCGCACCGCCATCACTGGCGTCCCCTGGTTAATGTTTAAATGTGAGAGTCTCAGTATTTGTGTCTCGGATAAAATGATTGAGCCTCCGTCAAGGAGAGTTTGCAACTTTTAGCGACGCACGCTTGTAAAAATTCCGAAAAGTTGTGAAAAGAGTAAGTCCCTGACACGCACGGCATGATCCTTGTGGGGTGGCAACGCTTCGCAATGCTTCCACCGGTCTGACCCGAACCCCCACCCCACCTCACCTCGCCCCCCTCTTACGGGTCTTCCCCAGGGGCGCGGCGAGTTTTCAATACGAGCTTCTTTGGACTAATTGATGAATGAATTATCCCCGTGGGGCCCTTACACGGTACAGGCCTATAACGGCTCTGCCCGCCGCACGCACGCACACACGCACACATTGACTTTCACACACACGCACACACACACCCACACGCCCACACGGTATCGCACACCACCGTGTGTTGTGACGCAGCTAGCGTGTCTGCGTCGATTCTGCTCCTCCTGTTGGACTCGACAGAAAAGAGTCTATCTGTTTCCGATTGGGGATGTCACTAACTGCCCTGCCCTTCTTCGTGCCGCGTGGCAAAAGACGGGGGAAAAAGTGTTTCGTTTCTTATCGAGCACGGTAGAGTTATTTCGTCCCCCTCCGTCTGAGGGCAACAGAAATTAATACCCTCCACCAGGCAGCGGTTAAGGTTTAGACAACGTTTGACCCTTTTTCTCATCTCTCTCTCTCTCTCTCTCTCTCTCTCTCTCTCTCGCTCTCACTCTCTCCCTCACCCCTCGAAGAATTAAATCTGGCCGACGGTCCGTTTTATCCTTTTATCATCCCTTCTCTCCCATTTGCTTTCACGGACACACGGCGGAACTTCTTTTGTCTGGAACTCTGGGGCGGCAGTGGCTGGAGAGTGTGGGCTGTAGGCTCGGCTGTAGGCGCAAACCGGACGGAAAAATGACGCCAGTCGTCACTGGCTTGGCTGCCTTCGCTGCCTTCTGCAGTGGGCCAGAAAGCCGGCGCAGGCGGACAAAACACTTGACGCGGTTTGAGCTCCTGAGTCGCTAAACACGCCTCGAACCGAACGTGTGACCCCACCAATGGATTCCTCGTTCGGAGAGCAGCCCATTGGTGGGGTCACACGTTCCGTTCGGGTCTCATTTCGCGACTCTGGAGCTCAAAACGCGTCTAGAGTTTTGGCCGCCTCCACCGGTCTTCTGGCCCACTGTGGGGGCCTGGCGGCTCAGCCGCGCGTGCGAGGGAGAGGCAGAGTGCTGGGCTGGCGCCGCTGGCGCACGGCGCGTGAGAGTGGGAGAGAGGAGCGCTAGGAGAGCGAGGTTTAAATGCCAGCGTTTTCGCTTTGCACGCCTTGGTCGGGAATACGAGACAAGGGTATCACAGCGGGGCAGCTTTTCTCGTATAACAAAGCGGGCGGCCGCTGGAGCAGGCTGGAGCCTCCAGCCCGCGGAGCGTGTCCGAAGCGGCTCGCCCGTCTCTCTCGCACCCTGGCGTGGCTTGCGGGGCGCCGCACGAGAGCGAGAGAGACAGAGCGAGGCTCGGAATGGCCCCGCTGTTCAGCACTCGAGAGGCTCGGCAGGGAAGGCCCGAGTCGGGAATTAAACCAGCCCGAGTCTGTCTCTCTCGCACCCCTACGGGCCGACGGGCCGCGCCGTGGGTGCGAGAGAGACAGAGCGTGCGTGCGGCGCGGTGCGCGCGGTGCGGGTGAGCGCCCGGCTGGCTGGGCAGGCCCGCAGAAGTTCCCTGTTGCGCGGGCTTGCCTACCCCCGGCATCGCAGGGGCTCCTTGACTCCCAGCCAGGGCACGGCGGCGCCGGGGCGGCGCCGGGGCGGCACGCCACTGTACAGTTAGTTAGTTTGGGCTTGGGCGCAGTCCGCAGGTCCGCAGCCCGACGCGCGGCCCGCCCGCGGCAGCCTGGAGCGGAGTGGAGCGGAGCGGTCTGACCTCGCAGCCTCGCACTGCGCTTTGGTTCCGAGCACCTGGAAACGATGTGGCCGTGAACAAGGCAACAGTGGCCCAACAGTCCGTTCAAATCTCGCCAACTGTCACGGCCGCCAGTGTGGCAGCGACGCTTCGAGGTTCCTCCAAGTGCGGACGGTCCGAGCCTACCGGCGAACGGACCTCCGCTGTGATGAGAACGCGCCTGTTAAAGCAGCATCCGGAGGGGATGCCGTTCTTGGCTCCCAGTGGCGGAGCGCTCTGCGGCCCCGCGTTGGCGACCGGAGTCCGAAGTCGGAGGGAAGGGCCGGCAACGGCCGGGCAGGGCAGGCACGGCCAGCGAGGGCTCGGTGCCCGGGGGGAGTTATCGCGGACCTTGGACTCGGACCAATAGCACCGCGCGGCAGGGCGGGGCGAGGCGGGGCGAGGCGGGGCGAGGTGGGGCGAGGCGGGGCGAGGCGGGGCGAGGCGGGGCGAGGCAGGGCGAGGCGGGGCGGGGCGGGGCGAGGCGGGGCGCAGGCAAAGGAACACTGCCCAGAACGAGCCTCCCAAGGGAGTGCTTGGCGCACCTGTGCCGTCCAAGACTGCAGCGCGAGGATCGGCAGCGCTGTGTGCGTGTGTGTTGGTGTGTGTGTGTGTGTGTGTGTGTGTGCGTGTGTGTGTGTGCGTGTGTGGACGCGGGATGGGCGACTTACGTGGCATTGCAGCCAGTAAGTATCACAGCAACGCTCCTCCGCGCGGCTTGAGGCTCCTCCGACTGTACCTACACTGTACGCCCCCGACTCGCTTTAACAGTGTAGCGGCACTGCTCGCGGCCAATCCCAATCGCAATGGCAATCACATTGGGAGTTACTCGTACACAGACGGCGACGCACTGCCACCGGAGTAACGCTGTGCTGCTCCCCCAGCGCGCGCTTTGTAGACATGAAGGCGCGCGGCACTCCCCTCCCCCTTCCCCCCCCCTCCCCCTCCCCTCCCCTCCCTCCCCCTTCCCCTCCCCTCCCACTCCATCCGGCTCTCTTCCACGGTGCCACCATGGCGCCACACCGCCGCGAGAGGCCTGCGAAATAAGCAGCGAGGTGTATTTCATAGTGAGGCAGTCTTCAACGACAAAATAATTTATATTGACAACGCGACGCGGAATATCAATTTCCTCGCTACGTGCGCCGCGCCGCGAAAGCGCCTCCGTCTCTCTCGCACTCGCGGGGCGAGGCGTAGGCGTGAGAGAGAGAGAGAGAGAGAGAGAGAGAGAGAGAGAGAGAGAGAGAGAGAGAGAGAGAGAGGGGAGGGGAGAGAGAGAGAGAGAGAGAGAGAGAGAGAGAGAGAGAGAGAGAGAGAGAGCGCCTGCAGACCGCCGCGCGACGCACCGCGCCCCCTTTGTGCGCCCCGGGCCGTCGTCGTCGTGGTGGTGGCGGTGCCGTACCGCGTCGCCGTGCCGTCGAGCCTCTTATCACGGCAAGAAATACGATAAGGGAAGGGACGGCCGCGACAGGCCGGGGTCGCCAGGGCGCGTAGCGGCGCACAGTGTAGTGGGGTATACGGCGCGGCGTGTGTAGTGTAGTAGACCGCGCGGCGGCGGAGCGTGGGACGCGGCGGGACGCGGCGGGACGCGGATCCATTGAGTTGCGGCGTCGTTGCGTCGTTGTCGTTTGCGAGCGGCACCGTCCCCGTTCGCCTTTCCCCGCTCGCCGAGGCCGTCGCCACGACCATCACAGTGGGCCAGAAGACCGGTGGGGGCGGCCAAAACTCTAGACGCGTTTTGAGCTCCAGAGTCGCTAAATGGGACTCGAACCGAACGTGTGACCCCACCAATGGATTGCTCTCCGGACGAGGAATCCATTGGTGGGGTCACACGTCCGGTTCGAGTCCTGCTTAGCGACTCTGGAGCTCAAAACGCGTCTAGAGTTTTGGCCGCCTCCGCCGGTCTTCTGGCCCACTGTATACCACGCCCTGTCGTTCAGACAGCGGGGTGCACGTCGCGAAAGTGTTTTCACAGCACCGAGCTTTTCGTTCTTCATTGTTTGAAACCAGTTTTCCAAAATTTGCTGTGAATGTTTCTCGGAGTGTCTGCTGCAGACATTCCAGCAACAGAGTGGCGCCCGGCGTCGAGAAGACATTCCTGGGACGGCCGAGGAGGCGCCCGGCCCGCCGTCTCTGGCCGTCTCGCAACTTCAGCGGAACCAGACCGGAGGGAGGTAACCGGAGCCCCTGCACGCAGCGCGGCGCGGCGCGGCGCGCACGCTGACCTGGAGGCGCCTGGAGGTGCCTGGAGCGCGGAGCGGGAGATGGCATGACGTCTGTGCATGTTTCATGCAAGCGTGTCTGCCGTATCAGGGAGCGATCCGGAACAGTGCTCCATCCCTGTCTCTCTCGCGCTCGCGGGGCGTTGCGCGGGGGTGCGAGAGGGACGGCGCTGTTGGGAACCAGCCGCGCGGCTACAGTGTACAGTGCCACACGCAGAGAGGCTGGCGGCCGCTGGCGGCGTGCTTCACGAACGCCGCCTGTCCGTTCGCCCCGAGGCGCCCCGAGGCGTGCGTGCGGGGTGCGTCCACCTGGGGGCGCACAGTGGGCCAGAAAACAGGTGGAGGCGGCCAAAGTTCTTGGCGCGTTTTGAAAACCAGAGTCGCTGAATGGGACTCGAACCGAACGTGTGACCCCACCGATGGATTGCTCTCCGAACGAGGAATCCATTGGTGGGGTCATTCGCTCGGTTCGAGTCCTGTGTAGCGACTCCGGAGCTCAAAACGCGTCTAGAGTTTTGGCCGCCTCCGCCGGTCTTCTGGCCCACTGTGGGACGCCAGCCCCCAACAGTGGACCAGCCCCCGGGGCGCTGCGCGCTGCGCGCTTCGCTGCGGGCTGCCGTACACAAGGCCCTAAGCGATCGCGGCACGCGAGGCGACGCGTCCGACTTTGACGCCGAGTCGGCTAAAAAGGGCGGCCAGTGCCATTGTCCGCCTCCTCATCGGGCCGTTCATCGGGCCGCTCAGCGCGTTCAGCGGGCCGCCGTCACAAAGCATCGGAAGCACCAGGACGCCGATCACGACGACGACGCCACTTCGCTTTTGTGCTCTTTTATTTTTCATCTCGCCCCGAGACGCGCGGCTGACGTGCGCGACCTGTGAATGCCGTCGCCGGCGTCGCCGTGACACAGGGGACGCGCGGCATCCGCGAGGTTTTTGTAAAAGTTGTCGAAGTCGGTCCTCCTTGCCGCCGCGCCGCGCAATGCCGCGCCGGGGAATACTGATGTCGTGGTGCGCGTGCGCGGCGCGCGCCAGGGGACGCGACGCCGGCGTGACGTGTCGTGACGCGATAGGTTGGCCTGCCGTGCCCTGCCTGCCGCGTTTGCCGATGGAATATCATTGCGAATGGCAGCCGTACTCGCTGGCATTACGTTTGACGGGATCATCTCAGACCTCCCCCTCCCCCCCACCCCCAAGTTGGCCCACTGATGGCACGCCGTTCGCACAAAAGGGAAATAAGGCGCCGGCTTGCAAAGGCGAGGCGACGTCTCAGCTTCGGGACGCTTCGGGACGCTTCGCTTCGGGACACTTCGGGACGCTTCAGGACGCTTCGGGACACTTCGGGACGCTTCAGGACGCTTCGGGACGCTTCGGGACGCTTCGGGACGCTTCGGGCAGCCGCTCGGCTCGCGCGACGGACGCGGCTGAAGCGACGAAAAGCGCGCCAAAATTTTGCACCCTTTTCCCGCATAACGCCAGAAAGGGTAACATTGCCTTAGATCTGGAAAGAAACGGGAACTCACCCCTGGTGAGCCGCATGTTCTTGGAGCCGACGGTGGCGGAGGTGAGCCCGGTGCAGGTGGCGTCCCCGGACTGCGCCACCGAGTAGCCCTCGGGCGTGGGCTCGTACACGAAGCACCGGTAGCGCTCCTCGTCGCTGGCGGCCGTCTTGTGGTGGTACTGCAGCTTGCCCACCATGTAGCGCGTCGAGCCCTCCTTCCAGTCCGCCACGCACTCCAGCTCCTCGACTGCAAGGAAAAAAAAGACAGTGCTGCTGCTCAAACTTGCGCATTTTAATGCGCAGCGCAGCGGGTCCGCCGCGCGAAAAAAAAATGAGAGAAAAAGGCGAGGAAAGTGCAAAAAAGTGCTTCGTCAGGGGGCCCTGCTGGCGATAAGGGATGTGCTTACGTGGTGTGTGTGCGTGTGTGTGTGTGCGTGTGCGTGTGTGGGGGGAAGCCTATGCTTATCGTTTCGAAAGCAACAACTCCAAGTGCGGCTCGCGTCGTGATTTGCCGCTCACTAACTGGGCCAAGTCCAAGTTGTTGTTGTTGTTGTTGTTGTTGTTGTTGGGTACGACGCGCGGCTCTGTCAAACACCACGACCTGGGCCACGGCCTAGGCCACGGCGGTACAGTGTTCGCCTGGCGGGGTCGGGAGCCAAACTAACCTCCCCCCCCCCCCGGAGCGGGATGCAGCAGGCTTATCGCGTCGTTCACTTCGTTAACTAATGCCACGCCGGCAATGCCCTGGCAATGCCCGCCCGCCCTGCCAGCCCCGCCCCGCCCTGCCCCGCCAGTCCAGTGGCACAGCGTACGCCTGGCCGAACCAGGCCGCTCACACACCTACCGTCGCCTCCAGCGAGCAAGCCCCGGGACACCGACATATCACTCACGGTGGAGATTTCCCCCAAACAAGTTCGACGAAGCACCTAAGGTGCACTCAATTTTCGGAGGTCAGTAACAAAGTCAGCTGCACCACTGTGATACGGACAACTTTCGCCACGGTAGGGCGCATCTTCCCATGAGACCTTTATAGTGTGCCGCCACGCCCCCGCCTTGCCTGCGGCCTTCGCCATAGCCTTCTCGCGCTGGTCCGCGGTGGCGGCCGGTCCGCGCCCAGTCCGATATATTATGCCGGGGCGAACAAATTAAATTTTCACTGCAGCGGGTGGCTCGAATTAACGCTCCGCGATGGTGCATTATTGCTCGGCGGGGCGTGGCGGGGCGTGGCGGGGCGTGGCGGGGCGTGGCGGGGCGTGGCGGGGCGTGGCCCAGGGCCCAGGGATCGGGGTCGATTTATCACACGCGGGCCGCAAACACAGAAGCAGAGCAAACAGTGCGGCGTTTCACGAAAAACAACAACCGCGGTAATAATACGGTCCCCGCGCTTAAATTACGCGACGCGTCAAAAATTCAACGACTTCTAATTTTATTTTTTAGGCGGAGGTCAGGAGGCAAATTTTTGGACGAAGCTGCCAATTTTGGGTGAAAGCAGACTGCTCTCTGAGCTGATGGACACGCGACGACACACCGTCATGGCGGGGCCGGGCGGGGCCGCGCGCGCACGTACACTCACTGTGAACTGTGTTCCTTCCCCAGCCGACATGACCTCCTTTCCGCGTTCCGTTTTTCCGTTTTTCTCCGGGAAGACAGCGGCGGGAAACGCACACACAGTGGTACAGTGGCGTGGTGACGTTTTTCTCGCGTCTCCTGTTAGTGGTGCGCGCACGTTGGAAAGTCCTTACTCTTGCTCTCCCGGCCACTGATGCTAACAGCGCCTTGTCCCGCTCCCCCCCCCCTTCTCTCTCTCTCCCTCGCTTCCTTCACGTCTGTCATTTGCTTCCCGCCACAGACGCAGCGGAATGCGTGCAATTTTCCCCGCCGCGAAAAATAGCCGCCCGTATCGGTGGTCGCCCGCAGTGTGTGTGTTTGTGTGTTTGTGTGCGTGAGTGCGTGGAGCGTGTGTGAGCGGGGCAAATATTCCAAGTCGAGCGCCTGAGAGGTACGCCGTGCCGCCACGCTGCAGAGCGTCGCGGGCCTGCCTACTCTACCGACTGCAGGCGTCCCCGGCCGCAGCCAGCGAGTCAGGGTAGGGTTGCCACATGAGCGCGACGCGCTAGTGTCGATAGGGTTGCCACCCGCAGCATGCCTACGAGGCGATATCTGGGCTTTGCTCTCGAGAGCGTTGCCTCCCGGACGCGTTTTGAGCTCCAGAGTCGCTAAATGGTACTCGAACAGAACGTGTGACCCCACCATTGGATTGCTCTCCGAACGAGCAATCCATTGGTGGGTCACACGTTCTGTTCGAGTACCACTTAGCGACTCTGGAGCTCAAAACGCGTCCAGAGTTTTGGCCGTCTGCGCCGGTCTTCTGACCCACTGTGCGTCGTGGGAGGGTTGCGCTGCTTTTGTTCCAACACTGGCTGGCAGTGGTTTCGATTCCTGGAGCGGGTACTCACTGGTGCTCTCCGTGCTGGGCACGTCGGGGCAGGCTTGGTAGCGCAGCCGCAGCCTGGCCGGGTCGGTGCAGCCCTCCAGCCTGGACACGGGCCACGCGCACTCGCCCGAGTTCCTGGAGTACGTGAAGTTGAAGGGCGGGTCGAGCAGCGGGCAGCGCTGCGGCGCCGCGTCCGCGCGGAACATGGAGAAGAGCGTGGTGTCGATGGGGATGCTCTGGCACAGGCCCTGGATGCGCTCGGCCGTCTCGCAGTACGCTGGAACAAGCAAAGCCCGTCAGCCTCGTCGTCAGCGTCGTCAGCTCGACCCTGTCACGCCGCTGCGGCGCCCGCCACACAGTGGGCCGGAAGACCGGTGGAGGCGGACAAAACTCCAGACGCGTTTTTAGCTCCAGAGTCGCTCAATGAGACTCGAACCGAACGTGGGACCCCACCAATGGATTCCTCGTCCGAAGAGCAATCCATTGGTGTGGTCACACGTTCGGTTCGAGTCCCGTCCAGCGACTCTGGAGCTCAAAACGCGTCTCGAATTTTGGCCGCCTCCACCGGTCCTCTGGCCCACTGTGCGCCACTGCCACTCTCCGTGAGCCACTTGAGCTCCTTATTCGGGCGCAGGCAACCATACGGCTTGGCCGCACATTCTGTTATCAGATCATCATCGGATTAGCATTAAAACCGCATCGCAGTGGAAAAAGTTGGGAATAAAGTCTTCCCTCCATTATCGAGGGCCAGCGGGGAAGGGGGAGGGGGAGGGGGACATGGAGGGGTGGGGGTAAGCCCTATCTCCTCACGTCAGCGCGCCCCACCACGGTATATATGTATGTAGTACAGCCCGTTAGCAGCCAACTCTGCCTCGTGTGTGTGTGTGTGTGTGTGTGTGTGTGTGTCCCTCTCTCGCTGCTGGCACTGCTGGGTGGCGCGAACAGCGGATGCAGCACATTTCCGGGCAATTAATTATATTTTGTCGCTGGCTTCCCGCCTCGCCGAAACGGACCTCACACATGACGGCGCAGCCCGCGATACTTTCCCAGAAATAGCGCCGCAGCCCCCGTGCGTGTGCGTGTGTGTGTGAGAGAGAGAAAGAGACGCTGTGCTTTAGCGCGGACGCAGTAAAGTGTCTCGTATTAGTTGCCGTTTGCTTCCAATGAAACAAAGTCGAATTATTTGTCGCGTTGATGTTCCCAAAAGCTTGCGGGGCTCCTATCGTGGCATCTGTTGCGGTGACGCCTGGGAAATAGTTTCCGTGTGTGTGTGTGTGTGTGTGAGAGAGAGAGAGAGAGAGAAAGAGAAAGGGGGGGGGGGTAATTACACAAGTGTTTGCCCCGAATCGGGCGGTGCAATTGTCGGCACACGAAGCGACGCTTCGGCGGTGCAGGGCGGAGCCGCGTAGTGTTTGTCTTGGCGTCAGTCAGTGTGCGAGAGGCAGAGCGAGAGAAAGAGAGAGAGAGAGAGAGAGAGAGAGAGAGAGAGAGAGAGAGAGAGAGAGAGAGAGAGAGAGAGAGAGAGACGAGGAGCAGTGAACCTGTCCCTTTTACCCATTTTGTCCTTTCCTCCCTGCTTTCGTGCCAGAGCTCCACAGGTTCGCGCGTTAAAAAGGACAGTGACTCCGTGTGTGTTGTTTGCGTGTGTGTGTGTGTGGGGGGGGGGGGGTAGAGCGAGGGCAAGGGGTTTGTACTGGAGTGTTGCTTGCGACACCTCCCTGCGCTGATTGCAACACAATGCTCTTTCATCAAGTATGTATCTCGCCCTCCTTACCCTGCCCCCCCCCCCCCCTTGCGGCACCAGCAGCGTGCGTCGGAGCGGCTCCCCAACGTGCCCCCGACAAGAGCGGTCCCGGGAGGCAGCGCCATGGAATTACAAGGTAAACAAGTTCTTTTCCGGGAATCCTCACCGCTGCGCTGCAGCCCTGCTGGCCTGCGCCCTGCTGGCCTGCGCCCTGCTGGCCTGCGCCCTGCTGGCCTGCGCCCTGCTGGCCTGCGCCCTGCTGGCCTGCGCCCTGCTGGCCTGCGCCCTGCTGGCCTGCGCCCTGCTGGCCTGCGCCCTGCTGGCCTGCGCCCTGCTGGCCTGCGCCCTGCTGGCCTGCGCCCTGCTGGCCTGCGCCCTGCTGGCCTGCGCCCTGCTGGCCTGCGCCCTGCGCCCTGCAGCTACGCGGTCGTTTAGTTTGGCGGGTCCCCCGGTGGCCGGCCAGGCCGAGGGCCGGGCTGCCCGCTCTGCCAGGGGTGCCTGACCGACCGCCGGGCTGCCTGCTCGGCGCGCGGAAGGGGTGAGGGCCGGCAGGCAAATCACTGCTTTCCATTCCCTTTGAAGGGCTGGCTGCGGCCGGGCTGGCCACCAGTCTATGAAAATCAGGGGCGCGGTGTTAAGCTGCTGCCCCCCCTCTCTCTCAGAGTGTCTGTGTCCGGCTCGAGAGAGCGGAGTGTTGCCGACAGACAACTGGCTGGAGGAAAAATGAAAACATTGTCTGGCCGATTTAGCTCTTGTTAGAAGATAACCCAGGCGACACACGTGTTGCCAGAGGGGCACGTAGAACCAAGGACGCACGCACCAACCAACACACTGCACACCCACACAAACAAGAGCACGCCTCTCGAAAACAAACAACCCGCCGACCCCTGCGGCGCCTGTGGCACTGCAGCCCAGTTTTCACCTTCACCTCGACCTTCGCGAGAGGTCCGCCTCAAAGGATGAAAAAGTGGGGGAAAATGAGGTCGGTGTGTGTGTGTGTGTGTGTTCCCTGCAGCAAAGCCGCGCTGGTGTAATAATTCTCATACCGACAGAACAAAGACGTTTCAGAGCGCAAATAGAAATCGGAATTGGGTCGAGGTCGTGCCGCGCCTTTGCGGTGCCTTTGCAGTGCCTTTGCAGTGCAGGGCCACGCGGCGGATGGCAGGGCAACTTCCCGCTCCTGCCGTGGCCAACGCGAACGCCAACGCGAACGCCGACGTTACGCTCGCGGCGTGTGGAATTCTTCAGTGTCGCGCTCGTGGCGTGGCAGCGCTCGCAGCGCCCTCTGGCCCACTGGCGGCGGCGAGGAGAGGCACTACACACACCACATTATTTATTCCATAACACGAGGCGCGCGCACACGCACACACACACACACACACACGTGCCGGCAGTTATTACCACACCGCCCTTCTCTCTCTCTCTCTCTCTCTCTCTCTCTCTCTCTCTCTCTCTCTCTCTCCCTCGCGCCGCATTCTTGCGCTCATTGCGGTATTGCTCGTCTCCTTGAGGGAGGCGATGTGTTTCCCCCTCCCTCCCCCTCCCCCCTTCGCGGAGACTGTCGCCCTCCGCCCTCATCATCGCGCCAGGCCTCCTTTTGTTTTGACCTGGTGGCCGATTCGGGGAACACGGACGGACAGACAGACAGACAGACAGGCAGACAGACAGACAGACAGACAGACAGACAGACAGACAGACAGACAGAGCAAGCCGATACTGTAATAGGGCCAATGGGGCTCATATGCTCGTGTCTGCGAATCCGGCAGTAGCCTCTCCCCTGTTGAGCCCGACACCCCTCCTCCATGCAAAGAAGGAACCAACCAGGCGGACAAAAATGGATTCGCGTTTCTCTTTTATCATCTTCCCGTCTCTCTCTCTCCCTCTCTCTCCTTTTTTCCTCGTATTGCTCCGCGTTCCCCGCGGTTTCACGCGACTGCGCCGCAGAACGGCGCAGAACGGCTCTCCTCTCTCCGTCGCACTCATTACAAGTGCGGGGCTGCGGTGAGGTTGGTCGGTGTGGCCGCCAGCCGTATGGAGCCAAATCGCATCGCAGCGGCTGCGGAACGAGACCGGGCCCATGTGGCATGCCTTGTCCGAAAAAAAAAAATGCTAGGACAAAAAAAAAGAGCAAAAATGGTGGTTGATGAAAAAAAATATTAAACATTTCCGGAGCGTGGTGGCCATTGTTTTAGACTCTCGAACGTTAGAACGGCAGCCTAATTTCCCAGTGCCCCACTTGGGCTCTGGCCGTGGCTGCACCATCGCCGTAACGGCAATGCGGCATGGCGCGGCCTGGCGCGCCGTCGTCGGTCGGGTCGCCCCAAAGTAGTTTGCAATTAATTAAAAATGCGGCAGTGTTGCCATCGTAATGCCATAAGCACGTCAGCCATAAGCACGTCCGTGCCGGCGTGCGTCCGTGCGCACGTGTGTGTGTGTGTGTATGTGTGTGTGTGTGTGCAAAGGGCAAAACGTGATGCAAAGGATGTAAGAGGGCGAGGACAGGGGGTGCAGTGTGAGTCGAAATGAGGGGACTGGGGCAGAGGCAGGCAGGGGCGGGCAGGGCAGGGAGAAGGCGGAAAATAGGGGTGGCGGGGCATGGCGAGTGTTGGCGGCCGGGCCAGGCCGCGGGGATGTTGGGGTCGACGACGAGCAGAAGGGCATTCATTAGGACGCCCTTTTCGTCCAGATTGCCGCCAACAGCTCAAAACGGAAAGCTGCGCGGAATAGCGGGAAAGAGACGGCGGAAAAAAAAGTTGAATTCGTGTACTTTGTGTTGAGCCATGTAAGAGTGCGCGAGGCCGCGCAGAGAAAAACCATCGCTTGCAGAATGAAAATACGTATACGCATGCCGCTGGTTCATAGAAACCCTCGCAAAATATTTCATAAGCTTGTCGGAAATGTTTGAGATTTTTAAAAGGGCATCTGGGCAGATTAAAATAAAAATGAAAAATGTTAAATTTTCATTTTGAATTTCTGCACTTGTTTCTCGAGTGAAATTTCTCAACTGTTGCCGGTGCACCCGCCCTGTTTCCCCCTGGATCCTCGCTGCTCGCTCACTTGGCTCGCGCTGCTGCGTGGCACGCCGAGGCACGCCGAGGCACGCTACGATTGGTTCCCGTTGAGTGCCCCCTCCCTCCCCCTCCCCCTCCCCGCGGAACATCATGCTGAGGCGGTGGGGGATGCAACAGTGTTTCATCCATAATTCAATTTCATTCTTTCTTTAGAAGACGGAGCGCGCGCCGCGGCCAGCAAGCTGCTCGGGTTGAGACCGTTGAGACTGGAGACCGGCGGGGAGGGAGAGGAGGGGAAGGTCCGGCGGCTCGTGTCGAAACAAAAGACCGGGCCTTTAAAAATCCTAATCAAGGCAGCGTCTTTGTCGACGTTCGAGACGACGACTGTTAAGCTGTTTACACCTCGGCGACCCAGGTCGACCCAGGTCGCCATGACTCGTGCATCGGGACGTTTCTCGCGTCGCCCCGCTTCTGAAACCGCTGTAGGAAGGGGCGCTGCGTTTCTTTCCCAGTGTGTCTCACTCCCACTGCCGGTTACGGTCCAAGTGCGTGCGCAGGCCACTGCCTTTAACGGCCAAAATCTCATTATAGGCCTTTACAACGGCACTGCGTCGTAAACGGAAGCGAGAGGGGGGGGGGGGGGAGGGGGGGAGGAAGCGCCCCCCGGTCCCACATCGCACTCACTCTCTTTGTACTGAAGCACGTTCGGGTGCATCTCGTGGATCGAGACGCAGCGGAAGCATTTCTCCTTCCTGGAACAGAAAAGATCACAGCAAGTTTTTAGAGGACTGATACCAATTCACGACTGCACAGTTCTCCGCCTTCATCACTCGTCGGAGAAATCAGTCGTCTCAAGGTGCGGTATTTTCGAGGTCGGTTTCTTTTTCTCTGTCGACAAAAAGAGAAAACAAAATCCAGCCGCGACGTGCACGAAACTTTTTCGAGTATAATCTGCGTTTCTCCCGTCGGACGCAAACAACAACAACAGAAATAACAACGGTCACAGAGCTGAGCAGCAGCTTGTCAAAACAGGCGGCACTTGCATTGTGCGACACACACACACACAGTGTGGTGGGTGTAGGGGCAGCAGCTCCGCTCGACGGAGCACCAAAACATTTCCATCAAAGTTTCCGGAAAAACGCACGGCGTCTCCGCGCGTGCGGCTCGCCCTGGCTCGCTCTCCCCGGAGTGATCGCGGAGCGGCGCAGCACAGCGCAGCACCCGGCCGGAGGGACTTCCGGGGGCGGGGGCCGAGTCCACCCCCACACCGCCTGGTTCGTGCGCCGGCCGCGCGGAGGGCCCAGAGGGCTCGCCAGAGGGCGGCGCGGAGCGCTAATTCGTAAGTTGGACGGATAAAGTACCGCCGCGTCGGACCGCGGGTTCACCCTCGCCGTTGACACGAGTGAATATTTCAAAGCCGGTGTCGCGTCGCCGCCCCCAGCCGCCCCCGGCCGCCCCCGGCCGCCCCCGGCCGCCCCCGCCAGCAACAACTGCCTGCCGCCACCTGAGTCCCTCTCTCCTATAAATGAAATTATGCGAGTCTGTCGGCCGTCCTGAGAGAGAGATACAGACGCACGCACACACACACAGAGGCGGCGGAGACACGGTTGACAGGTAGAGTACCGGGAAGCGACGCGCGGCCCGCTGCCAGCGCGCCGCTCTCGTACGGAGAATAAGTTTACAGATCGCTTTGGGCCCTTAGGGCTCCCCGTTGGGGCTCCCCTTTGGGGCTCCCCCTCCCCTTTCCCTCCTCTTAGGGCCCCACGCACGTCCTGGATTGCCATTCTTCCGCGATTTCCTCCCTAAACAATATCAAAACCCCCTCAGCCTCGGCGGTCTCAGCCGAAGTGTCGCGGGGAGAGAGAGGAGGGGAGCGCGCGCCCTGCCGCCAAGCCTGCCGCCCTGCCGCCGCCCCGCCACTTTGGAGAGCCACGACCGCCCCGGCGCCCTGAGCGTGCTCGCCATTTAATGGCATCCCCAGCAACAACAACAGCAACAACAACAACAAAGCACAACAAGATGATTTCATTTCGAAATCGTCGCTCATTATTTATTTTTTGAGGCTCGGATCGGTATTGCAGTATTGAGGCTCAAGTTTTAGCAAGGTGAATATGACGCCACCCCTATTTTCGGTACAGTCGCGGAACGTTTTTCCGGGGGCATTTCACCGCCTGCTAGCTGGATTTCCGGGCGTGCTTTTGCCGGCGGTTCGGGCTGGTTGGCCGACCTGTCCGAGGCCGGCGTGCCCGATGACGGTTCGCGCCAATTTCCGAATTAATTGGCGGCCCTGATGGATATGGCCGCGGCGCCGTGCAGGCATGGCTGGCGGTGGCTGCCCGTTATGGCCGGAAAAACACTAATCGAGCCGATCCACTGCTAATCTGCAGCGCGCTGCTCGTCACACGCAGTGTGGGCACGCAACGGTCCGTCCGTCCGTCCGTCCGTCCGTCTGTCTGTCTGTCTGTCTGTCTGTCTGTCTGTCTGTCTGTCTGTCTGTGCACCTGCCTGTCCGCCCGCCCGTCCATCCCGCGGCCATCATGGCGGAAGACATCGAATGGCTAATGCTCGACGGGACGACTGCGGGCGGGGCGGGGCGGGGCGGTGGGAATGGGCGAGCTCATCTCTCGTGACGTATTGTTGTGGAAGGCGTGGCGTGGCGGGGCGTGGCGTGCTCACGCTCAGTCACGCCTGGCGTACCTCGCAATACCCCGCAATGCCTCGCCATGCTTGGCCATGCTCACTGGCGGCCACTAGTCCGCCGGTTGTTCACAACACGGCGTATTCACTCGCCGCACAGCCAGCACGGCCCGCACGGCCTGGAGGCGGAAACAGCCTCCAATTTCGGGGCTCTCGGGGCTTTCGGCTGTGCCGGCCTGCCCGCCCGGTCGGGTACACCGGATACTCGACAAAGGTCCTGTCCGTTCGAGCGCGTTTTTGAACCGCCGTCCACTCGTTGAGCCTGCTGTCGAATTTCTCCTCCCGCGTCGACATTTTTCTTTGGCACTTTTCAAACTTCTTCCAGTTTACCTTTGGAAGTCTTCGACGAGGAGCCGTCAGAAAAATCATAAATACAGTCCGGGTTCCTGCACTCCGGGGCCGGGTCCCGATCTGCCATTCACCCCCACCTGAGGCGCATATCCATGCCACCCCCCCCCCCCCTCTCTGCCCGGAGCGCGGCACAATAGGCCGCAGACACGGCACTGTCGTGCACACTGTCGTGCACTGTCCGTCCGAACGGCCGGACGGCCCAACGGAACGGCCCCAGCGCTTTGTGCGACACCATCCATCCAAGGGCGTACACCACACCGTAAAAAAAAGGCGCGGATTACAAAGCGAAGCGCGGGGGATGAAATGCACTGCGGGAAAGAGGACCGACCGCGAAAAAAAAAAAAAAAAAGACCGGAAGAAAGTAAGTAGAGGATTTAGAGCGCGCACGAAAAAAAAATTGACCGCAATTTCGGACGCCTTTTATTTTTTCCTTTTCGCCACTTTCGATGCGTGGGCACTCCGAGGAAAAGAGTTCCGTCTTTTCTTTTTCTTCCCTTTTTCCCCGACGCACACTTCGTGCCACTTCGTGCCTCTTCGGCGGCGCGTACCTGCTGCGACTTCGTGCGCGGAATCAGGGAATCCATCGAAATTCTGCGAATGAGTCAGTCGACCGCCAGCCTTTGGGGGTGGCAGAGGGGTGGGGGAAGTGGGTCGAATGAGGCGTCGGCGGCGCCACACCTGCAGATTGAAACGTCGGGCTTATTCGGTGGACAGCATTAGCAAGGCGGTGAGAGGGAAAGGAAAAAAAATGTCGTGAAGAAAATGAAGATGCCGTGAATTGAGGTGTATGCGTGTGGTCTAAACGTCCTAGAAAAGATAATTTTTTCCTAAAATTGCGAATTTTAAGTTCGAATTTTGGGGGATTAATCTTGAGCAGCATCGTTATCAAGTTCATTTCTCCTAGAAATATCCACCCTTTTCGATCACCCGGCGTAATTTTTCCCACACTCTCCTCAATGGCGAAAAAAATGAGAGTGGCGGTGGTCTGCCAGGAGAGAATTAAATTCAGCGACACCAGAAGGCCGATTCCGATTTTTCAATATCGGGGGCGGTGGGATGGATTTGACTAAGTAGCGGCCCGTCGCCACCAAGACGCGGTCGGCGTTGGTGGGGGGCATCGACAGTGTGGACGTGAACCAGGGTGGCCGCGGCCAGTAGACTGGTTCCGAGTTGGAAGTCTCTCTCTCTCGCACTCATGGGGCGCTCCGCACCGGTGCGAGAGAGACAGACCGACGGCCGCACTGTGCGGAATCAGTCTCCAGGGCGTGCCGCTCGGCGTGCCCCTTCGCTCTCCCCCTCCTCCTCGTCGAGGCCTTGGAGGCCTTGGAGGCCTTGGAGGCCGTGGAGGCCGTCTGGGCCGTCTGGGCCAGCAACATCCTGGCCGGCTTACACGGCAAGTAATCTCGGAATATTTATGAAATGAAATTAAAAGGGATGCGCCGGCCGGCTGCTTGGTGGCCGGGACCTCCTTCTTCTCCTCGGAGGGCTGCTCCTTGGAAGCGCTCCACCCCACCCCGCCCCACCCCGCCCCACCCCACCCCACCCCACCCGACCCTCGCGGACTGCAGCGCTCCACGGGAAGAAAGAAGAAACTCGCTTGTAATAACAGCAGCAATTAATTTGGAGTCCGAAATGCGTTCTTTCTTCTCGCCGACCTTCTCTCAGTTCACCACACTCTTCATTGGGTGCGCTAGTTCGGGACGACGGTCACTTCAAGAGCGCGCGCACTCTGACAGCCGAGCTGAGAGCTGCCTCCCGGCGTCACCTGCCCACCGCCGCCCACCGCCGCCCACACGCCTTCGCTCTCATGCCGCGTTGCCGCCCACACGCCCACCCCGCCAACTAGCACCGCCCTCCCCGCCCCGCCGCTCAAAAAGTTTTTATTTAGGGAGCGGGGAAAGGCCGCGATGTAGGATTCGCGATAGCGGTGGCGGGGCGGGGCGGGGTGGGGCGGGGCAGGGCACACGTGGTCCACGCGCACGGGCATGGAGACGTCGAGGGGGAGCAACAAAGATAAGCGGCAAGCAGTCTGAGCTGCGGGGCTGCGGGGCTGCGGGGCTGCGTGTGCGACAGACAGGTACACAGAATGAGTCAAACTCCGAGTACCGCCTCGCTGCAGCACGCTGGCAGCTCCGCCGCGCTGCCGCGGTACTCTGCCAATGAAACCGGTTGCTCCATCTCTCTCGCGACCCCCGCGGAACGCCCCGCCGCCCCGCGAGTGCGAGAGAGACAGAGCCACAGTCGCTGCACGCGACTGCACGTGGCTTCCGTGATGGTGATATATGGTTTGCAAAATTGTGTGCCCGTGAGGCAGGAGGGAGGGAGACACACAGGGAGAGCGAGGAGAGAGAGAGAGAGAGAGAGAGAGAGAGAGAGAGAGAGAGAGAGAGAGAGAGGTCGGGGCGAGGGAGAGTGACTGCAGTACGTGATGCTACTTCTTAACACGGCACTCATAGAGACGCGGCGCGCTTCGTTCGTCTCGTCAGACAAAAAGGGGATGGATCAGGCCGTCAGGGCCGTCAGGCGGATAGACTGGGGCTGGCTGGCGGGGCTGGCGGGGCTGGCGAACACGCAGAGCGACCTAGCGCGACGCCCAGCCACCCCGAGCCACTCACACAGGGATGCAGGCAGCGCCCATTTGCCTGCGACGCAATAAGGATGTTGATGTGTCCTGCGCGCCCCGCCCCGCCCCGCCCCGCCCCGC